ATAATGCATGTCCACGATGAGTTTTTTTGCAGCATTTGGTAGCCACCGCATCTGCCCTGGCCTCATGTTTGTCCTAGCATCTAAAGAAATCCTGCATACAAACACGATGTATCCATTCATTATTTCAAGAATATCCAATGAATGCGATGTATTGAGCAATGTAGTGCGAGAAAGACTTACCCACAGCTCTTGCTTCACCCACTCCGCCTTGTTGTTGAATACCCTATGGGCCCGATCTGTAGCATCGGGGTGGCGGCGTAGTGGTCAAATGAGTAGGCCGGCCCCGTCACTCCGGCGTACTCAACCAGGCCAGGGAAGTGCTCCTTGCACAAAAGACCGAGGATGCCATTGACTTGGCGTGTGTGAGCACCTCCACTCGCCACAATCGTCCAGTTCCTGCTCAAGTGATTAAGAAAAATTATTAGTTTCTATTTTGATTTTCAACATATCATATAAAGTAGTGATAACATCTAAAGTTACTTACTTTTCCCCCTCGGGTCGAATCAGCGGGCGTGTCTCACGAGGTATCGGTCGCTGACGGAGGCTCGTGGGACCTCTCAAGTAGACGCTCGACAAACTAGAGGAAGCGGAACCCCCTGCTGTCGCCTCCTCATTGTCGTCCTCCTGTGCGTCCTCCTGTGCCTCCTCGGCGTCCTCCTAGGGCACCTGCTCCTCCTCCTCCTCATGCGACGGGGCGGCAGGCGATGGCTCCCTCCTACGGCTGCTCCTCCTCCTACTCTCCCCCGGTGTAGCAGTCCTTGTCCTTTGGTACAAGGACGCTAGCTTCCTCATCCCACCGCCCACCATCTTTGTTCAATCACCTGTAATTAAAAAGAGTAAACCAATAAGCGCACCAGAATCTACCTCTAGGAACCTAGAGGATTGTCATGGAAGGTGTCGTAGGATTGTCACAGGAATGTCAAGCTGCCTCTTCTGGCCATCACTAGAATCTACCTCCAGGAACCTAGAGAATTTACACTTTGGACAGTACTTTGCTTCCACGTATTCTTTCCTAAATAGGATGCACCCCTTCGGGCAAGCATGTATCTGCTCATACGACATCTTAAGTGCATAAAGAAGTTTCTGTGACTCGTCCATGCTCTTTGGCAGAAGGTGACCCTCCGGAAGCAGGCTGCCAATAACCGTCAACATACCATTGAAGGCGTCTCAACTCAGGCTATACTAGGACTTTAACGCCATTATGTGTCCAATGGCATCCAGTTGAGAAACCTTTGTCTGGCCGTGAAGGGGTTTCTGTGCCACGGCAAACATGTCGTAGAACGCCTTTGTGGTTGCCTCTGGCTCCTCCTCCGTACGTCCTTCAGCGAACTGCGCCACGTGATAGTCATTTAACATGTCTGCTACCCCGGCATCAGCATCATAATCCTCGACGCGTGGTCTCACCACCTCCTCTCTCATACGATCGGCTTCACCATGGTAGACAAATCGGGTATAGTCTGCCGTAAATCCATTCTTCCAAAGATGTTCCCCCATGACCTTCTTCGTTTGTCTTTTCCTATTTGCACATTTGCTACAGGGACATCAAATTTTACTCGCTCCTTTAGCAGCCACGCCAAATGCCTGTTCCAAGAAAGCATCGGTCTTGTCGATCCATTCATTGGTGACCTGACCCTGACTTGCGCGGCCCGTGTACATCCACTCATGGTCCTCCATCCTCTAACATATATAGCGGCGAGTAATATAAACATCAATTGCATCTACACGACGTTCCTACTATCTAATAGGTGAGGATAGGTCCTAATCCCATGCGAGGATCCGTAGATGAGATTAGTTTTCATGCTCTACTCCTATCCAAGATAGAATTTCGGCAGCACCTCCCCGCTGTTCTCCAAATACACGTCCTGCCAGGGAGAGTGTGTATCCGGAGAACAACAGGGAGATGATGTCGAAACTCTGTCTCGGATCAGAGCAGACCATGGAAACTAACCCCACCTACGCATCCGCGGGCTATCCAAAAAACATGGATAATTCGAAACAGATACGGTTTTAGATATGGAAATATTTGCATATTTCTAACCGTATCTCTTTCGAACGGGAGACGCCTAACTGGGTTACGTGATCTACGACCATGATACGGAAAGAGGGGTTATACCTAGGGTGGCGGTGGAGTCAGGCTAGCGGGGCCGTGGTGGGTCGGTGCAGTGGCGAGGCGACGCGGTGCAGGCAGACCCGCAGCGGCGAGGAAGGCGATCGGGGTCACCGAGGTACTCCGGCTCCGCTCCGACGGGCTCTTCTCTGCAAAAAAAGAAACATAAAACTGTCAATACAAAATTTCGGCAGCACCTCCCCTGCACGGTGAGGTTTTTCAAAACCTGCAAGAAAACCAACGGCACGATGGCCGACATGCACATATATATGAACGTCACGATGGCCGACATGCACAAGATTATATCCAACCACATATATATAACAATGTCACAACCACTCCTACGACTCCTACGACTACCACCACTGCTACTCTACCACTACTACTACCGCAACTACTAGTAATACTACGACGACGACGACGGTAGGGCATACCTAGTGGGCGTCGTAGGGCGGTGGTGGTGAAGGGGCTAGGGCGCCGGTGGACAAGGCGACGACTGGGGAAGCACCGAGGACGTGGCAACGGCGGCCGGGGCGTCTCCTCCTCCTCCTTCCTCCTTCCTCCTCCTCCTTCTCTTCCTCCTTCCTCCTCTCCTCCTCCTCCTCTCTTTCTCCTCTGGCAGCTCTAGCGCGGTCAGCTTCCTGCGTGCGTGTCCGCGTGTGTGCGGTGTGTGTGGGCCGGCTGGGCCGGCGGGGTTAAATCCCCCCTTTGCCGAGTGCCCCCGATCTGGCACTCGGCAAAGTATTTTTTAATTTTTAATTCTCTGCCGAGTGCCACCGCCTAGCACTCGGCAAAGAGTTTTTTTTGGGAAATTCTTTGCCGAGTGCCCCGATCCGCACTTTCGCAAAGTATTTTTTAATTTTTTTAAATTCTTTGCCGAAAAGCCACCATACGACACTCGGGCAAAGAGGGTTTTTTAATTTTTTTTCTTTGCCGAGTGCTAGCCGTCACGGCACTTTCGGCAAAGGCTCATTCTTAGAAGCGTCCCGACACACTCGCAAACCGTTTTTATTTTTTCTTCACGAAACTTTTTACGTAGTCCTCATACAATACCTGGTACTCAATGTTCCAATGTGGCACATTTCTCGGACTTTTTCTATATTTCTTTAATTTATTTCATTTAATTGAATTTTCTTGGATAATTCAAATTATAACCGCTAGTCATTCGAATAATGTAAAAAATGAATGGGAAAATAATATTCATGTTATTTAGTATAATGTGAGGCCGTATGTAGGAACAGAGCGTCAATTTCGAACATCTTGTTCACGAAACATGACCACGAACTTACGGTCGAGTTGTTTTTAAATTCTATAAAAAGCAAACGTCGAAAATCTTGAAACTTGTCGAGATGTCATGATATCATATGTGGAGGCTGTGATAAAAAATTAAGAAGGTTTCGCACAAGTTTGTCACGTATGATGCTTACCACCTCGTCGGCCTCTTCACGAAATCACGAAACTTCTTCGGAGATTCTTCGGTTTGCAAGCATCGTACGTGACAACTTGCGCGAAACCTTCTCAAATTTTTATCACAGCGTCCACATATGATATCATGACATCTTGACAAGTTTCATGATTTTCGGACTTCGTTTGCTTTTTATAGAATTTAAAAATAACTCGACCGCAAGTTCGTGGTCATGTTTCGTGAACAAGATGTTCAAAATTGGTGGTCTATTCCTAGATACGGTCTCACATTATACTAAATAACATGAATATCATTTTTCCATTCATTTTTTTCATTATTCGAATGACTAGCTGTTATAATTTGAATTATTCAAGAAAATTCAATTAAACGAAATAAATTAAAGAAATATAAAAAAAGTCCAAGAAATGTGCCACATTGGAACATGGAGTACCAGGTATTGTATGAGGACTGCAGAAAAAGTTTGGAGGTCAAAAGTGAAAAAATATGGTTTGCCGAGTGTCAAAAAATGACACTCGACAAATCACCGCTTTGCCGAGTGTCCGGAGAAGACACTCGGCAAAGGGTTAACGGCGGCGGTCCTTTGCCGAGTGTTCTGGTCTGCCGAGTGCCCGACACTCGGCAAACCTGGTCTTTGTCGAGTGTTATTGTTTGCCGAGTGCTCGCCACTCGGCAAACCACCTCTTTGCCGAGTGTTAGTTGTTTGCCGGGTGCTTTCTCTCTGGCACTCGGCAAATAGCCTCTTTGCCGAGCGTCCGATAAAAAGCACTCGACAAAGTCTGGGACACTCGGCAAAGAAGCCGTCTCCGGTAGTGGTGTGAACCAAAAGTCGTTTCCCTACTAGTGCAGAGAACCTCTTTGATCATCAGCGGGCTAACATGGGGAGAGGATAAACGTGGATTCGAAGATAATAAGAAGAATATAGGGTGAAGAATATATGGAAGCATGTGAATCAAAAATCTATTGTGTAATACTCAGCTTAAACTAGCACTCTTACCAGCAAGCTTTTTTTCAAGGGGACAAAATCACAAGTGCTACTGTTCCACTCTCTATATGCATATCCTCCTTTATCTTAAATAAAGAGAACAAAAGTTTTTGACTAAAACATTTGTACTTCTCTTACTTTAAAATGAAATGATGATACCCAACCCAAGGAGACAAATCGACAATTTCAGGATAATCAAGGCCAGTACATAAGAAGTGCTTGAAGTGTTATCCGGGCAAAATGTCCAGATGACACTAACAAAACTTCCCTGTGAACAGTTCCTGGTCAGCTCGGCATCTCGCAGTGTGCCATCAGTATCACATGCACTTTGTGCGCTCGCGAGCGCGTGCATTCGTAATCGCATGGGGCTATGGACAATGCATGGTCGTCTATGGATCTATGGATCGGAGAGGCAACAACGCCAAGTACGGCCAGCCGAGAGTTGCAGGACGGAAATGGTCGTCTCTACTCTCTAGCCAGCTCATCTAGCTCACCTGCAGCTTGAAGCGACGGAACTTCTCGGTACAGAAGTCCACGTCCGGGCGCGGCGGCATGCGGCCGCGTAGTTGTCCGATCTCGCGGCACATCAGCTTGCTTGCGGTGTTGCGGCCGCCCAGCAGCTCCCGGTGCAGCGCCCTTCCATCTGACGCGGGCACGGGCCGGGAGGAACGTGCACGGCCGTCGAAGCCGACGACCCGCCACCATTTGTCATCGACATCCTCGACCTCGACGGCACCGCCTTCACGGCGCTGCGCATTCCTGCGTCTTCCCATTGCCTTCTCTAGCAGTCGCGCAGGTCTCGGGATTGCGGCGCGGGCGGCGGCGGCTGTGGATGGTTGGTGAGGGATTATTCCTAGGGTTTCGCGGCGAGAGAAGGGGAGGAATGGGTGTCCGGTTTAGGCAGTAAGTAGAGCTCGAGAGTGGGCCAGATGTCTGTCACCAATTGAAAATTTGAGCAAAAAGCGGCCCGCGGTCGGTGTGCGTCAAAACAGGCAGCTGATGTCACCGCCGGTTGGTCGATCGATGTCTAGTCTGAGCTACCAGGCAGTCAAAATATGCGGCGGCCTCTCGGTAAACCTGGCCATCGAAAATCTGAACAGCTTTACTGCAGTGTAGTAACTAGTAAACCCTGCAGGATCGATCTCATCTGGGGCTCCTGGCTGATCGGTATTCGGTAATAATAAGCTTATCGATCACACAGTGAATCGTAGCTAGGGTTAGCACCCACCTCGACGTCAGAGATTATGACGTGAGTGCTGATTGCTGACCTCTGGCAGCGGAGCTGCCCAGGTTTTGACTTCTGCAGCTGCATGTGCGTGATTGCTTGCTGATTGCTGCTGGCAACATGACTACTGCTGATGAGTAACCTCTTTTTTCGAAAGATGATAAGAAGGGAAGCAGTTTTATGTATATATACATATACAAGGCACAGTTTGCACAAGAAGAGCAAAACCGTGCATAACAACACGATCGAGGGTTTTCAAACTGTTCTGAACCTGCTCGCCACGTACCCCTTTGCTATCCTAGGCTGTTTACATGATTCAAGGAAGCAACTCTGCTTTGGCGTTTTAGCCTAGCTATACTCTACGTGTCCTACATCCCTCCTCTCTCCGCGCTTGAATCACTGCTTGAGTCTCAATCAGTCTGATTCATGTTATGGTGGGAGAAACATCTGTATAATCCCTTGTTTCCAGCAAAACGCCAGGTTCTCGCTTCCTCTTTGATCGCATATATGCCACCTCCATCGCTGTGTGGCTTGCATGCTTGAGAACCCTGTGTTTGTTGCGCTCCCCTCATATATATTTGCCAGATTGTTAGCTATCACCACCGGATAAACTGGACTTTGCCGAGTGTCTGAGACTTTGCCGAGTGCTTTTTATCGGGGCACTCGGCAAAGCAATATTTTGCCGAGTGCCGCACTCGGCAAAATAAAGCACTCGGCAAAGGTGGCTTTGCCGAGTGCCAGGCACTCGGTAAAGCCTGGCTCTCGGCAAAACTGGGCTTGATCCCACTTGGCAAAAGGTGGCCGGCCCGTGACGGCGGCCACCTGCCGTCAGATTTTGCCGAGTGCCTAACGGCTGACACTCGGCAATTTTTTTTTATTTTTAAAAACTTATTTTGCCGAGTGCCAGCCCCAGGCACTCAGCAATTTTTTTTAAAACATATTTTGCCGAGTGTAAGCCTTGGGCACTCGGCAATTTTTTTTTTAATTTTTTAAAACTTATTTTGCCAAGTGCCAGCTCCCAGACACTCGACAATTTTTTTTTTTGAAAATCAACTTTGCCGAGTGCCCCCCATGGCACTCGGCAAATTTTTTTTATTTTTGGCCCAAATTTTTTTCTGGGGCCTTGTGACAGTATTTCAAACTCTATTTTAAAATTTGGGGCAATTTTGACTTTTTTTGATATATTTCATTAGTTTATTTCGTTTCGTCGAATTTTTCGGGATATTTCAAATTTGAACTGCAGGTACATGGAATAATGGACTTTGGTCATCCAAAAATTGATACTCATGATATTTAGGGTATGTTTAGGCCGTATCCAGGAACTCACATGAAATCTTGAGCATCTCATTGACGTAACATGTCGAGGTACTTGCCGGAAATATGATTTTAAATTATATAAAATGCAAACGAAGTCCGAAAATCATGAAACTTGTCGAGGCGTCGTGTTATCGCATGTGGAGGCTGTGGTAAAAAATTGAGAAGGTTTCGAGCAAGTTGTGATGTCGGATGCCAAAAACCCAGACATCTCCGCATGTGATCACGGCCTATGCCCAATGATGATCTTCTTCCTGGTCTTGTCGCCACACTGTCAACCGCTGTTAGCCCGAGAAACCAGATTTATGTGCTCTCATCCTCAGACCTTCAGTGAAAAGGTAGGAGAGAGATCCTCCCTGCCTAGACTGCTACAGTGCTACAGCTCCCAAAATCCGGCCACCTTGCAAAGACTCAATTTCTGGAAAAAGGTGTGCCGTGGTCTCCAGGCTTCTAAAGCATAGTTGACAAACAAACTTATTTGGTCACCCTCTTATTAGGCCATGCACCCAAATCAAGACTCAAATTAGTGGGCTAGTTATTTTTTTTCCTACCGGAAACAGTGACTTTGCCGTGTGCCACAGACTCTGAGTGTAACACTCGGCAAACAGCACACGACATCTACAGTGTCGGCAAACATCTCTTTGCCGAGTGTTTTCTATCGGGCACTCGGCAAATACTTTGCCGAGAGCTGAAACCAACGCTCGACGAAAAAAAGTAACGCGACGGCGCGGAGACGGTCACGGCACGTTTGCCGAGTGTCCCGTACCTGACACTCGGCAAACCTGAATTCTTTGTCGAGTGTCAAATCCCGGACACTCGACAAACCTGCCATCTTTGCCGAGTGTCAAATCCCAGACACTCGGCAAAGACTGACCCAGAACGTACAAATGTTAGCTTCTTTGCCCAGTGTCACAGCGTAGACACTCGGCAAAGAAGCCATTTTAGTCCCAGAATACATAGATTTTTACCACGTGTCCCTCTTTGCCGAGTGTATTTTTCATGGCACTCGACAAATAGCCCTGTTGGCGAGTGTAACACTCGGCAAAGCTGCCACATATAATTAGTTTATTTGTTTCGGTCACAGCCACGTACCATATTCAAATAAATATCACATCCATCACAGATAGTTCACAATAGGCATCACAGGTAGTTCATATAGATATATCGACAACACATTAATGCAAATAAACTTCAGAATCAATAGTAGGTTCATTCACAACCATAAATAATCACAAGTAGTCCACAAATGCAAATGCAAATAAAATCACAAGTAGTCAGTTAGGCCACGAGTTCCACTGCGACCACGCTGGGTCATGAGGCTCATTCGATGCCACCGATTGATGCTGCACAAAGGAGAAGAGATTGCATGTATGAGTCAAGATTGAACAAGACGTAGAAACTAGGTGGTAACAAACATATAGCATTAGTCACTAAGTTTCAAGTGTCTAGGCATCTTTGTAAGATTGATTCTGCATAAACTAGAAACAATGATTATAAGGTTGTAAAACGACTCACAGTGCCTGAAACAGTATTTGGAGCGGGTTGAGGAGGGACTGGCATCGGTGGCGGAGGTTGACCGATTGCAGCGTAAACACCCCTCATATAGTTAAACATCTGCAGCTCCATCCTCTGCCGCTCTGCCTCCATCCTCGCCTCTAGCTCCTCCCGATGCCTCGTTTCTTGTTCTAGCTGAGCCTACAATATTTTATCCCAATGTTACAATGTAATACAAAAGTATGTAAAAATCAATGAACGATGAATAAAACAGAAATAACCTGGAGTGCGTTCATCTGGAACCGTGTAAAGTCCGGCCGTGGGCGTATGGGCGGACTGGAACCGGTGCTCCGTGCTCGAATCTGGGAGAGAGTGGGAGCCACACGTTCTTGGTCGTGTTTCTTGAACAAGATGTTCGAAATTTCTTTTCATTTCCCGGGTAAGGCCTCACACCAGACTCAATAACATGAATATCATTTTTCTACTCATTTTATTCTATTATTTGAATCACTACAGTTCAAATTTGATTTATACCAAAAAATTCCTTGAAATACAATAAATTAATTAAATATAGCAAACAGATCCAGAAATATACCAAATCCTAACATGGAGTACCACATGTTGTATGCAGAGAGTAGAAAAAGTTTTAAGGCCATAAGAGAAAAAAACTTATTATTTCATGCAGTTATAGCTCAAATTCAATCTATATCAATTAAAATCATATAATTGCACTTAATAAATTAAAATTATCAAACGGATAAAAAAACTTACCAAAATTACACATGAATCAATCTATGTTCTCTACTGCCTATACAAAAAATTTTGAAGTCAAACCCCAATTCAACTGTCACTTTGACTCCAAATCTTACCGAATCCTTCTCAACGCTGCGATTCTTCTTTTGAGATACTTCAGTTTGTAAACATTGTACGTGACAGATTGTGCGAAACATTCTTATTTTTTTACCACGTCCTCCACGTATGATATCACGAGATCTTGACAAATCTCATGATTTTTAGACTTCGTTTGCTTTTTTTAGAATTTAAAAACCATTCGGCCATACGTCCGTGGTCGTGTTTCCTGAACAAGATGTTCGAAATTTCTTTTTATTTCCTGGGTCCTCACACCGGACTCAATAACATGAATATCATTTTTCTACTCATTTTATTCTATTATTTGAATCACTTGTAGTTTAAATTTGACTTATACCAAAAATTTCTTGAAATGCAATAAATTAATTAAATATAGCAAACAAATCCAGAAATATACCAAATCCTAACATGGAGTACCACATGTTGTATGTAGAGAGTAGAAAAAGTTTTGAGGGTAGAAGAGAAAAAACTTATTCATTTGCCGAGTGCCAAAAAAAACACTCAGCAAACTTATTTCTTTGCCGAGTGCTGGAAAAAACACTCAAGGCAAACTTATTTTTTGCTGAGCGCCCCTATCGGACACTCGACAAACTCCTAACGGCCGGCACACTAACTGACGGATGTCCACGTGACGGTTTTTTATCGAGTGTCTTTTTTTCGAGTGTTTTTTTCTTAGTTTGCCGAGTGTTTTTTTTTTCAGCACTCGGCAAAGAGTTTGTTTGTCGAGTGCCATTATTTTGCCGTATATTTTTTTGTAGCACTTGGCAAAGAGCTTGTTTGTCGAGTGCTCGATAGAATGCACTCGGCAAACATGTTTGCACTCGGCAAACCTACTGTTTCCAGTAGTGTTTCCTCTGTTTCTTTGGAGTT